AGTACGTTTATGTCCACGCCTGGCACTCTCAGTGTACGCCCGATCGCCATCCTGCAATCTAGGTCCCTATTACAATCTAGGTCGGGTTGCGAGGGCATTTATGTGGGTTCTTACCGTCTGTATGAAGGTCCGTCCGGTTACCGGAGCCACGTAGTCTGTCAACCAAAGAGTTGATGGGTGGCAGTTTTTTTCCTCCCTCAATGCCTTGCCATCAACGCTCCGATACAACTTCATGGACAGCGTTTTCTTCAATCTCTTCAATCGAAGTGTTTTCCGAGTTGAGGCCCATTTTCGTGAGGATGCTTGCGAGTTTTATCACAAAACGTTCGTTAGTATATTCGTTAGTAATATAGGAGGAGTGATAGGCGACCCTTGCTACTGGGCAACCAGAGTACTCCATACTTCACAACCTAGCGAGCTTCAGTGAGGGTAAAGAACTGCTAAAGCTCATAACTCCCAAACCACCATCAGTACAAGCAGAGTGGAAATATTGAGTAGGGGTATCTTGAGGCAGTCGTAGCCAAGAACGTATTGCCGCTCTTGTTGAAACATCCAACTTTCTAAACTCATTCATTTTTCTTGGACTCAGTGTGAGGAGATGAATGAATTTTGGGATGAGATACGTTCTTAAAGTAATTAATTTTTGTTGAGGTTTTAGGGGTGCGGTGTTTGTTTTGTGCAGCAGTAATGATAATTCATCGATAACTCCTACGGCATTCTTGTTATTCATGGTACATTTCGCTCCTAGGTATTTCCAGCAATCCAAGATACCTAACTGCTTGATTCTACCACCATTTACTGCGAAATGATATTTTTTATCGACCTTCATCGTATTAGATTTGACGGCCTTGACTAGTGAGAAGCTAAAGCATTTAGCTGAGTTGGATTCCATTCCCAGCATTTGAATAGCTGCAGCTGCGTCCGATAGTAGTCTTTTCATGCCATTGGACAAGGATGTGATTAAAACTAGGTCGTCTGCAAATGCCAGGCAGTTTACCATTGTTCCTCCCATATCGTAACCTATTCCATCTGGAAGGGAATTGGTTACCCAATCCATTGCCATGTTAAAGAGGCTAGGGGACAATGGGTCACCCTGCCTTATACCTCTTCCGCATACAATAGGATCCGTCTGCTGCTTATTATCTGTAATGCGGGTGTAACATTTCCTATATAGCCCTTCAAATAACCAATAAGTCCAGCTGGCATACCCTTCCATTCCAAGATTTTATAAAGTGCATTGTAGCTCACATTATCAAAAGCCTTGGCAATATCCATAAAAATTACATGGATTGCCTTTTTTCTCCTTTTAGAGTCATCTATTAGTGCTTGTAAGGATAATATATTCTCTGTAGTGCCATCAGAAGCAATAAACGCTCGCTGGTTTACATGGTGCAAGTCCATTGCATTTAGACGAGTTGCAATTATCTTGTGCAGTTGTCTAAGAGGGACTGAAGCAACAGTGATGGGTCTACATGTACTCGGAGAGCGGGATCATCAGTTTTCGGAATGAATACAGTCCGGGCCGCAGTTAATTTTGGTAAGTGGGGTGGATGGGACAGATATATATTATAAAAGATGGCCCTATGTAAGGGAGAAACAGACTCCCACTGCTTAACAGTGATACCATCTGGTCCCGCTGAAGATTTCTTGTCCATAGCACCTAATTTTATTTCATCAGCTGTAACTGGCAGCCATAATGTAAACAATTTCTGTTAAGGAATTGGTGTATCCGGCACATTGGAATACGATGCCATCTCCATCAGTGGCCTCCAGAAAGATTCGAGTTGCTCAATGCTGTGCTTGTTACGGGCTGTGGTGCCGTTGAACACTTCGCGAAACGCTTTCTTCCTATCTTTTGTCCACAATCTTTGAATCCTCTTGAACTGCTCCCTTCTTCTAACAGAAGAATTAGCGGGCAATGATCTTTCACCAGGTTCATTTGAAATGGTGCTTTTTACGTTCAGCAATGATTCGAGCCATGCGTTAAGAGATACCGAAATGTCTTCGCCTTCTTCTGCAATCTCCAAAAGTGAAATCATTATTAAGTTAGGAACAGTTATCTCCTGGCATAACTCTCTGGCTGCTTTCAGAAATTCTTGCTTATCAGTGGTACCATTACTTATGGCCACAGCTGGGTTAGGAGCTGCGGCTTGATTGTTCCTAGACTCGCTGAAGTAGATCCTAGTATCGTTCTTTTCTTATCGCCTTCCGTATACAGAATGAAGTAGAATTTTAACTGTATAGCACGTGAGTTAGCCAAGCTTTGTATTGTTAGAGTTTTTTTTTACAAAACAAAATAAAAATTTGGATTTTTTTTGTTAGCATAGAAATGCGGCTCACCCAGACAAATATGACACTCTTCAGAAAAAAAATAAACTGTACAAGATTATTTTCGCTCGTAAAGTGTTTAAGAAAAAAGATTTTAAACAAAAATGATTTGTTTCGTCATAGGTAACTCTATTTGATTTAAACATCGAATAGCTATACGATGTGAGATTGTTCAGAATTTTCTTAAAAATTATACAAGTGAAAGTAGAATAACTATTTTTACTTGGACGTTTTCTAAAGCTGTTAAAGCTTTGTCGGGATCCGCAATGTCTAATTACCGAAAAGCCGGATTATTGTAGATATATTAAAAAAAATTAATATAATAACATTGAATATAAGCTATTTAATCAAAATAAACCATTATTATAACATGAAGAAAATAATTTACACAACAAACAATGTGAAAAGCGCGAAATAATAAACCACTCCAAATACAAATTAGAAATGTATTGTTAAATGTGATCCCAGTCAAATTTTAATAATTTCTTAGTATTAAATTAAACCATAACCAACTGAAGCATGTCGGGAATCAAGAGTGTTAGCAGCTTTTCATATTAGGAGGGGGGGGGACAATACGGACACTTTTTTCGGAAAAGTTTATTATTATTACAATTTATAAATATTTTGATATTAAATACAATATATAAATAGAACACCAATTTAAAAAAAAATATTTTCTTGAATTTTCGGCAAACCTTATGTATTATATGATATTTTATTTGCTTTCAATTATTTAGAAAGGAGCACCCCCTCCCACCCTCCCACACCATGCCTGCGTATGCCCATGCCGGGAATTCATTATTATTCAGTTTTAAAATATATAAAATTTGAAATAAGAATTTCATCTGAAATAACTTCGCAGCATTATTTATAAAGAGCATCGTCAAAGGAGGGTGCATTTTTTTTTTTAAATAGGAGGGGACAATTAATTTAAGGATGGAGAAATTAATCATTATTTCCTAATTAGTTTCTTGCAGAATGTTAAAATACTACCAACCGATTTGTCGTTGAAGATATTTTATCATAAGTTTTTTATTTTTTTTTTTTTGCTACTTTATTTTAGATTTGTTCCGTTTCCCATAGCCAAAGACAAGGCATTATTTGTATTTATTATATTCACACAATAAAGATACCGTATACCGATATTTCAAACAAGCGCCACCCATTGAGTTAATACTAAAACCCGAAATACGGAAGACAATGCCTCAATTGTGTTGAGTATTTAGGATAATGTCATATCTGCTGTTCTTCCAAGTATGCGGCGCTCTTAGATATTTTTTTATATACATATAAACCTCAGAGAGCCCTTTTTTATTTATTTTCTGGTTAAAAGGTTCTTTATGTTTAATGGTTAAGAAAACTTAATGTACCCCCAAAAAATTCGCATGGCGCAACTTACGTCATATAACCCCCTCTGGACACTCCTGACTTAATTATACAATAATAAGCCGAGTTTAATGAAAGTCGTTAGAGCCGTTTTTAAGAAAAAATGTATAAAATCGGTTTTATAGATTTCACTTCCGGTCAGCCAATTTTGACGAAAAAGTTTCTGTAACATTACGGACAGGTAAAATAATTGAATACGAAATTTCAGTTCCGTAGGATTTTTCGTTTTTTAGCTAGTCTGTTTCCACACATACGCACGCACGCACACACACACCATTTTGAGGGACTTGGTTATGTGGACTCAAGGGACCTCAAAACGAGTATTTCCGTTGAAAACTCAGATTCGAAAATTTTATCGATCGCAATACTCACCCTTACTATACATTACGTATATAGGTAAGTGGAAGTAAAAATATATATGAAATTTATAGTGAATTTTCCTTTCTTTAATTTTGTATAGATTAATGTTTTCGAAAAATGCATGGTTTTGGAGTCATGGCTAAAATCTAAAAAAAAAAAAAAAAAATGCGAAATTTCTCTGTTTTTCATATACCTCATTTTTATAAAAATTCATTTGCCAAATTCAAATTCTGATTCAGGAATTCAAAAATATAAAAAATGCAGAGAAAGCGACTATTTGAATTATTCCTCATCCAAATATCAATTGACTGGTCTAATTTGATGACTGACGACATCAGTTATCAAAACGCAACCGTTTATAATTAAATCAATTTTAATAATTATTATTTTTTTAAAATAAAATATTGTGGGTGAATTTCGTGGATTTAAAATATCACTCTAATTTGATTAATATTAAAAATTATACAAATACATTGCTTTCCACATACTATAAATAAAGGTTATAATCACTTGCAGTTATATATTTCTTTTTAATTATTATAAAAAACCAAGGTGCACTAGAGTGTGTCATTTCATTAATTTTATCGTCGAATCTACAATAAATAACTGGGTGGGAAGAAATATATATATATATATAATCAGTTAAGAATTAAAGCATGTGATTTAGTTGAACATTAGGTACTTACAATTATTAATTAAGGTTAATTCTGAAATTCTTCTCTGAAACAGTATCTGAATTTATCAAGTTGATGGTTTTTACAATATTATGTAAATGTATTGGTTTTGTAAGAACCATTATTGAAATATATTTAATAACATAAAAAACAGTATACGTACATACGTCTGTGTATCAGTGTGCTCGCCCAGCTCAGCGTTTATTCTATGGCTGTGTCAGCATGATTCTAATTTTTTATTTTTTATTGCAGGGTTATAAGGAATTTCCCATGAACAGCATTTGGAAAGTTTTGCAGAAACTAAGAACTATAAGAGGATACAGAAAAGTCGTATTGGAAGATTTATTTGAACCGCTGGATCCACGGGCAACTGGAAAACTATCCTGTAGAATATTTGATTTTTATTAAAATATTTGTTTACCTATATTTGTAATATTTTTGTCATTAATTTGGATTTTCCTTTTTTTTAAATTCTAATTCTAAAAAATTTCAGCTCATGTATTTAAGGCCGCCCTGATGGGAAACATTGATTATCAGCCTATATTAACGAAGCTAGACATAGAACAAATCGCATACTACTATACAGATAAAGACACCGATTGCGTTGACTACCGATCCTTTATCGACTTCGTTAACCAACCAGGTGAGAAAATTAAATTTCTTAGTCGATTGAATTCAAAATTGTATTGTATATTGTCGTTCTTTTTAACACAATTATGAGCTTTCAGATCAAAAGTTGTTTATGTACAACAAAATTAGACGTTTTTGTTTATTTGTTGAATAGACTCCATTGAAAATCATGAAATAATTTTTAAAAACATTATAAAATTTAGTTAGGGAGATTTTGAAATTACTGATAATAAGTCCTGCATAAAAAACGTAAACATTTTTCACAGCATCTTGCAGAGCAGGGCAAATAAACAAATGTTCGATGTCTTTTTTTTTTGGTATAAACTTAAATATGTTTTTAAATTCCAAGATTCAAAGTGGCTCTTCCAATCTGACATAAACATAAATTATGTTATTTAAAAAAAAAATACATACTCGTACATATTAAGTTACATACATACATAATTAAATACATTTTGTGTTCCCTCGCATTATATCTTTCGATTGATGTTGTACTTAAAGTGATTTGTTCATATATAATCCCTGGAAAAATGCATTATTCGTGAAGTATATTAATATTTTCGAGTTTTTAATTTTTTTTATTAGGAGTTCCCACTAATAAAAACTAGGTTTCCTTAACCTAAAGTGCTTGGATGGGTTCTCTCTATAATGTCCTATCTAAGGTCAATTCAAGAATGTACCTTATTTAATTTAATATAATAAATCTACCTAACTGTTACCATTAAAATATAATTTTCAGCCGAAGGTGGAATCTTTGCCAATAAAAATGAACACCTAATAATTTATATAGATAATTCTGCTAACATGATAAAGTTAATAAAAATCAGAATGATACGCTTCTACAGGTTTGTTGTACCAGATTCCGTTTAGCCGGTGGTACCTTAGTGCCGAATGTTTTGGCACACAAGCATGTAGAGAAAAATGAAAATAGTTAAGAAGATCAATCAATTTTTAATTCTTAAGTGTAATTAAAAATGTGAAAAACACTGTAATGATTTAAATAAGTTAATGAAGAGAATGAGGATTTTAATTATTTTTTTCTTCTTTACAGAGCCAAAAGGGATTGATTGCACTCGTGTGGAAATTGATACAGCTTTAACACCGCGTTACCACGGCACATCAGCGAACAACGTCGAACTAGAAACATTACAATCCGTTCTGGAATATATCGCAAAAGTATTGCTGTACAAGAAGTTACATATAGACGCTTACTTACGAGAAGATGAGTCAGTAAGTTCGCGATCTAACTTTGAAATAGGTCTCGGCTATAATTTAAAACTTGTATTAATAATTTGTAATATTAGTAATTTATAATAAGTGTGATACATTGCCGGTCTTAGGCAATTGGGGCTTACGGACAAATACGTGATGACCACCATTTCTCCGCCCCTCTTCTCCCAAAAAAATCAATGTATTAAGCTGTGGTGTTATACAATCATTTGGATTGTTTTTCATTCAATACATCTCAAATTCAGATGCTTAATAGCTAGGTCAAAATTAATTTTAATTGAATAATTTTTAATTGCTGATAACGCCCAAAAAAGTATGTAGGGCGCCACACTTGGTTGGCGCACATCGGATTGTGTGCCTGGAAAAATCTCGTATAGCCGAAAAGGCGAGGAAGATGATGAAAAAAAAAACAACATATTATTATTGAGTTTTAATTACTAATTATTTCTTTTATTCTTTTATAGTGAAGAATTTATGTGAGAGCTTGGTCAAATTGGGGATGAAGCGGTATAGCATTATGTCATGCAAAAATATGGAGAAAAATATAACTATGCTGAAAGAATTAAGAAAACATAGTAAAGAATATTTCAGAAATGAAACAAAAAACATATTGAATAAACAGTCAGATGGAGGGATGTGATAAAACTCAGAACTAGTTCATTGAAAATTTAATGAAAGATTCAATCAGAAACGATGGAGGAAATTTGAAATCATATGGAGCCAGAATGCAATAGCTCTTTAACTCTCTGGAATTTAAGAAAATTCTTGCACAAACCGTAGAAACTTCGGAGAGTGTCTTTTGTTCAACCGTGGCTGTTTTGGACATTAAGTTCAGCTCCGAGAACCAAGACCGGTAGCAAGGAAAATACCCAAAAGTGAGGATTTCCCCCTCCCTCTCCCCAGAGATGAGCAAAAGCTACTTTGACTACTCAGTGCCAAGTATTTTACTCAAATACTAATATTTTTTGAAAACCAAAGAATTTAATTACTAGTTGATGTCAAACGATTAACTAAAGTAGTGATTTAATTCCCAATAAAGATTCAATTTGAATAAAATACTTTGTACTCGGTAGTCAGAGTAGCATTTTCCCATCTCTGCTTCTCCCCCGTCCGCCGCTGATCGTCGAAGTCTTTGTTAGCCAGACCATACGCGACAAGTTGATTTTCTTTTTTAAAAAGATAATAAAAAATTTCAGGAATAGGTACTGCAGCTGAGAAACTGATGAAAGGGTATACGTCAGCGTGAAAATGACCTCTAGAAACGAACCACTCGGTTATCGACTTACTGTCAGCGTGTAAACAAGGAAACTGCCGCTGCATCACTGTCTTGAAAATTCGTTAACAAGAGTTGTCACCGTGTAAACAAAGTTTTAGTCTATCCGCCTTTCATTCCTTATTGGTTTTTATTGTTTGTTCTTTTTAAATATCAACAATAAGGTCTTAATTAATTATATTAATTAAAGTTATTTGCCTAAGAAATGTTGCTATTGCAATATATATATATATATATATATATATATGTATGTCAGAAAATTAAGGATCTTCAGAAGAGGTGTGATGCAGCCCGGAGACGCTTTAGACGCACTAGATTGCCTGACGACTATCAAGCGTTCAGGGCGCTCCGCAACCTGACACAATCCACAATCCGACGAGCCAAATCTACCTATTTCCATGAAGCCCTTTCCTCAGCTCCTGATTCCAAATCCAAATGGCTACTCCTTCGTAAACTCTCTCTTTGTGATCCTACCAGATCTCCTCCCTCTGCAGTGCCCCCAGTTTCATCAAATGACTTAAATTCTTATTTTATATCTGCTTCCTCTTCAACTCCTTCATTTCTCCCTTCCTTCTTTCCTCCTGGAACATCTTTCAATGACGCCGATTTTTATTTTTCAGATATTTCTCCCACAGACCTCATATCCGCCGTGATGAAATCACACTCTAATTCTATTGGTCCAGATGGCATTCCCGTCAAATTAATTAAATTATGCCTCCCTGAAATCCTTCCGATACTCCTTTTCATCTACAATTTTTCCCTTCAAAATTCAGTATTCCCTTCCTTGTGGAAAAAAGCCACAGTCCGTCCTTTAAATAAAAATTCTAATCCGTCTTCCCCTGAAGATTTCCGGCCAATCTCAATCCTTTCTAACCTTTCCAAACCCCTGGAGAGAATTGTGCAATCCCAAGTTTCCACCTTCCACTTTTTTGTTTTGTTTCCAGTTTCCACATACTCATTGACTTTTCCAAAGCCTTTGATTCCATCAACCACTCCATTCTCTTTTCCAAATTAAAATCATTATCCTTTTCCCATAGTTCTATCCTATGGTTTCAATCATTCCTTTCCCAACGCTCACAAGCTGTCGCTATTCCTAATCAACCCTTGTCTTCCTATCTTACTTTGTCCGCAGGAGTGACCCAGGGCTCTAGCATATCTCCCCTCCTTTTTAGTTCTTATATCAATGACATCCATAATTCAATCCTTCACTGCTCCCATCACCTTTACGCCGATGACTCCCAAATCTACCTTTCCTTCCATCCCTCAGAGTTGCATGAAGCGTTTGCCAAAATTCAAGAAGACTTGAATCGGATCAGTGCCTGGGCAAACTTAAATGGGTTAAGGTTAAACGCTGCAAAAACTCAAGCCATTGTCATTGGTTCCAAACCCCTTCTCAGAGCCAATACCAACATACCGATACTGTACCTAAATGACCATCCCATTACCTTCACCTCCTCAGTAAAAAACCTAGGCATTTTCATAGACCAAACCCTATCCTGGAAACACCATATTGCTCACATTACCCGACAGTCAATTGGCACCTTGAAACTATTCCATCGGTTCCGCCATCTCCTACCCATCTCCACACGTAGACTCCTAGTAACTTCCCTCATCTTCCCCCACCTTGATTACGGCTGCGTGGTGTACGGTGGCCTCTCGGCAGAACTCGGGGAGAGACTGAAAAGAATTATGAATGCCTTCGTAAGATTTGTCACAGGGGCCCTGAGGTATTCCCGTGTTTCGCACCACTATGCTGAATTAGAATGGCTCTTCCCTTTCTTCCGAAGACAATATTTCCTAGGCACATTCCTTTACCAAATAATCAATAGTCATCGTCCGTCCTACGCATACAATCTCCTACAATTCAAATCATCTATCCACACCCTCTCCACAAGATCTCGTCCTTCTGACCTTTACACTCCTTTCCACAGATCTGCATCATTTAAACATTCCTTCGTTGTCCGTTCCACCGCATTCTGGAATTCCATCCCACTAAAAATCCGCCATGCAACATCCTTATCCACCTTTAAAACCCTCTTATTCCAATTCCTCTTCACAATCCAATCAGACGCTGGTTAAATACATACTATGTTATAAGGATTTAATTTTCTTTAGACATTATTTTTTTCTCTTATTTTTTATTGTTTTATTCTGTGTTGAAAGTGAATTTTCATCACCACTCACTAAGCATTGTGAGTAGATAAAATTTGTTTTCCTTAAGTTCTAATTTTTTATTCATGGAATGTATTTCAGTGAAATGTATTTTATTTCTAATTATCTTCAACATACTTCTCGCTATGTGTATATATATACTTTATTTTATTTTCTCTTCTCCTAATCTTTACGGATAATCACTTAAATATCTTAGGGAACATATGTATATCATTATTTGTTTTTTTATATATTTTTTTGTTTTAGTTTTTACAATTTCTTTCCCTACATATTAACAGTTATTATTATTTTTTTAAATTTTTATATTCCATCACTACAATGCTTTACCTATAAAATAGATTTTACTTTCCTTTATTATTTCATTCAGTGATTATTATGCAATTATTTTAGCTCCAATATTGTAGTACTGAACCCCTATTACCAAACTGTCCTCGTTAATTTATCCTAAGAGCTTAATTAATACTTAATGTATTACATGTATTTTGTCATTATTCATTGTAATAAGTCTTTTGACCAGATTTGTAGTTAATATATATGAACAATACTGTTATTCTAAAGGGACCTAGTCCCAGAATAAAGACGATTTTTCTATTCTATTCTATTCTATTCTATATATATATATATATATATATATATATATATATATATATATATATATATATATATATATATTTATTAGAATAATACTGATTTAAAACGTAAAGTTGTAAGTTTAATCGATTGTGTTGTGCAGGAACGTACTAACTGATGTTTTATTTATTTTTTTTTTTTTTATCATGTTCCAAATTTTTTAATTCTAGTATTGCCGTATTAAAAAAATAAGCAAATTATATATTTGATAAAGAAAAATAGGAGTCAACATTTTTGATTTGGGTCACATGATATTATCTTAGCAAAGAAAGAAAATAATGTAGGTTATTAAATGCCTCAGTATGCATGAAAAAAAAAAATTAGATGGTAAGTTTGTGCGTAATGTTGCCCCATTATGTAGTAATGAAATAGTAAGTAATTTTAAACTAATTATACCAACTATATTAAATTTGCTTCACCACTAACAAAAAATTTCACTTTCTCAGGTAATGAAAAGCAGATTCATATCAATGACACACCTCAAGAAAATATTTATACATATAGGAATTTTTCTGGATGACGATCAGTTCAGCATGATATGTAAATGGTTCGGTCGAAACGGCATTCAAATCGACGCTTGCGTTTTCTTAACCCACTTGAATAATGCCATTACTCGCGTTTGTAAATCTGGGAGTTACGACCCGAAAAAAGTAAATTTAATTACTTTTAGTGTATTATGTTTAGGTGTGTTGCCTCTTTAACTATTAATGCTGTCGCATAAGGGTACTTAGAAGTTACGGAAATTCGCATAGTGGGAATCTAACATAAATGAAATTCATGATAATACAAAAAAAAAAAATCGGCACTACTTCACATGTCAATTGATGATGAACATGGATGAGCACAAGTTCACATGATGTCAATGTAGAAGGAATTATGAAAATGGCCGATCGTGTCCCAAAGGAGACGGAAATAAGTGATTCATTTGCTGAGGCTCCGATCTCTATTGAATGAGACACTTTGGGATTTACGCAATTTCTTTTGAGGTAGTGTTACGAGGGGAAGTCGATAGCCGTAATACGAGTATAAAAAAAGATAGGTTACATCCGTGAGCAAGGTTTATTTGCAATACTCTTTTGTTTTCGAAATTGCGTCTACAGTTCTGTCTTATGGATGTTTAGTATGTTGAAGTGACTCAGTGAAGTGGTACCAACATTTCTATAAGTTATTGTTGATTTTTTTTTATAATACATAGCAAATATTCTTAGACATGTGAATAGGGCGTTCAATCCTATGTCACACATTCCAGCAAGGTTGGGTTGACTACTCTCATTGTTGGCGCAGACATTCCATTTCCATTGGAGAGGGAAGGGAGGGGGCTAAGGACAACAAAAAAAAAAAAAAAAAAGCAGTAGTTCTTATTATGTGTAAAAATTCAGTATAATTATTGTGGGATGAGCAAATATAATAATGGATATTTCAAAATTAATTTATACATTTCTTTGGAAATTGTAGAATTTTTTTTATGTCCATATGGATAAACTTGAAAATATCCGAGAAAAAAAAAGCAATTGGAATTTATTACGATTTGTATGCATTAAACATAGAAGGAAGGACAACCTTCATAACATAGGTACATTTTTATAACTTTTCCTGCTAAAAATGAATAATATTGGAAAACTGAAAAATATTTTTAATTTCCTAGTTTTCACAATCTTAAAATAAAAATACAATGTTTTCACAGTATAACTACTTATGTAAAAATGTCTCTAAAAATATTCTCTATAAAATATATTTATACTTATTACATATTATTTTTTCAACTTTATCATAGAATATTTATAAGAAAATCATGTGGACATAGAGGTGTATACATAAGAGGTGAATGAATCATAAAAATCTAGGAAATGTTTCTATATAATCATCCTTGAATATAAATGAAAATTGAAATAATAGGAATTTTCGGTCTTGATAAAATAATAGGGTGTATATGAAAAAATTACCATTTTATCAAATTTAAGATTTCAAAGGACTGTAAATATTTTAATCCTATTTCATACTTAACTATACTTAATAATCCCTTTAGAGCATTCTCTAAGCTTGTTTAATCCCATTTGACTTCTTAAAAAAAAAAACAACCTCAGTTTCAAAGAAGAATTTGTTTATTCGTTTCAAAGAAGAAACACGACAGTGCCCTACGAAATTCTTGTAATTTTAATGCATTCCTGAAAAAAAAAAATATATTCACAGCCACTGAAGCAACTCATGAAATTATTAAATATGATGGGGAAAGTGTCCTTGACCAGCGCACTGCGTGGCGTTGGTTTGAAACATTTAGCACTGGAGCTACGAAGATGGAAAGGAAGAAGTGCTCTAGACAACCATTAAGGGATATTGATGAGGTTCTGCAGGAAGCTGTCGAGTCGAATCCGTCGTCCACAAGTACTCGCGAACTTACCAGAGAGTTTGGTGTGTTGAAAGATACTGTTAGTCGCCACCTACTTTCCATGGAGCAAGTACCCTCCATGGGAAGGTGAAAAAGAGCAATAGACTGGTCCCTCACGAACTTACTCCTCAGCAATCAGCTAAGAGGTTAGACATTTGTGAAAATTTATAAAAAAAAACTCCTACTCCATTCACCAGTATAGTCCAGACCTCGCACCATCGGTTTACTTCTTATTTAGATCCATGGCTCATTTTCTTCAATGGAAAAAAATTGATTATTTTATGGAAGTTGATATTGCGGTCTAAGAGTTCTTTGATGGCCATTCCAAAGAATGTTATCAGCATGGGATCGAGCATCTGGCTAGTCGATGCCTAATGACGGTAGATAACAATGGACTATACTTTGAGTATTAATTGTATTTTATATCAAAGAAATAATAATACAAATATCTGGTTGAAAAGTTCATTTTTTTTGTACGCCCTATTTTAATGTACTTACTTATAGACCTTAGCCCAACTAATCAATCGATTTTAGTTTATACATTTTATTTATTCATGTATCTTATTTGTTATCAATTTTAATTTATATTTCAATTTAAATTATTATCGCCGCCTCAATATTTTTATCAGGGGGGAGACTATTGCCCTCCCCCGCTTCCCTCTCAGAGTCTGTGCCTATGAGTGTTGGTGACAGCGAGTTTATCGATGGAATCTTCCAAGGAATTCCCACTGATCGGCTCCGCATGTGCCAACCGTGGGACGTTCAGCAACGCGGTAATGAAATCCTCGCAAGGATACACTATCAATACAATGAAATAAATATTCATAACATATCTTATTTAATATGATTTCTAAACAGTTGAGATATTAAACCTAATGTTCGTTTTTCGTTCACCAAGGTTAACAAACTTCGTGCAACAAAAAATTCATTCTTCAGTCAGTTTTTTCTGTTGAGAGGTCCAATTAAAATCAGCTTAACCAGCCGACAATGTTAAAATTGCATTGATCTTTTTCTGTGAGATGAGTAATGCCTTAACGAATTCGTCCTTTTCAAAGATGGTGGAGTTAAAAACTCTACCTTCCATCGAAGAGGAGCAATTCAAACCTCATTCCAGGCACAGGCGGATCTACGGGGGCTGAAGCCCCTCCCACCCCCCTCAAATAGTGAAATATTACCATGTCTTTTGAAAAAGTAATTACATTTAATAAGACATCAAAAATCACTTAAAGACCATATCGTATAGGCAGTTAGTTTCTTCCAAAGTAATTATCATTATAAATAAAAAAAAAAAACCTTCGGGCTGAAGCCCCCCAAAATGAAATCCTGGGATCCGCCAGTGATTTCAGGCATTTCGGGTTGAAGCCTCTTCTTCCCTTCCCCACCAATAATGGTAAAATATAACCATGTTTTATAGAAAAATATATTAAAAACTATCTGTTAAAGTTCTATTGTTCGTTTTATTAAATTTAATAGGACTTCAATAATAACTTAAGCATCATATAGGTAGTCAGTTTCTTTATTTTTTTTTTCTTATTAATTATCGTTTTATATATATATATATATATATATATATATATATATATATTTATAAAAGCTTTCGGGATGACGTCCTTCCCCCAAAATTAAATCCTGGATCCGCTAGTGGTAGGAGGGAAATTAGTTATATCTTTATCTTTGGGACTGGAAACGTAAGCATTACCATACTTTAGGGCTTGTCACAACTATCGATCCTCTTGTTCCCAAGCCAATATTAAACCTTATCTTGTATGCAAAAGTATGCAACCAGGTATAGGCTGCAATTTTGGTGTAAAATAACAGGAATCATCAGGAGGATGGCCCAACGATGGATAAAAAGGAAATCGGCATATAAGAAATTTGCCGTTGAACCGGATTATACCGTTTGATTGCAGACAAAATTTCTGGCATTTATTGTTTATTAATTTATTATTGTATTATTCATATTTTATTTTTGTATCGTTTTAGTTAGTAAAAATTTTCAGAATTTCTTGAAGCCTTTGTTTATCCTTTTGTTCACATGTCCACAACTATAACCGAAACAAAGTTGAAGTTTTGTAAATGCAATGTAAGTATCGCTGCGTCGTTCTCTGGCACGGGCGGATCTACGGGGGGGGGGGGGCTTTCGGGCTGAAGCCCCCCCAAAATGGTAAAATATAACCATGTTTTATCGAAAAAAATATTAAGAAATTGTCTTTTAAAGTATAATTGTTCGTGTAATTACATTTAAAAGGGCTTTAGGAATCACTTAAACACCAGTTCATATAGGTAGCTAGTTTCTTTCTTATTTTCCAAAGTAATTATCGTTATTTTTATGAAAAAAAAAGCTTTCGGGCTGAAGCCCCCCCCCAAAATTTAATCCTGGATCCGCTAGTGCTCTCTGGTGCTAACGTACTTTTTGTTCGTTAACCTTCATTTTTTTAATGAATTTAATTAACTCGTAAACAAAAGACTGTAAAGAAAAAATGAATTTTTATAAAAAATTGAATTGTCTTTAGTAGGTCTAATAAATTACAAGATAACAGTCAAAAACACGAAAAGCTACCTTCTTTTATCCAGTGTCTTCTGTACATCAGGTCTTTATGCTATGTCCATTGGGTAGACCCTTCTGAGAAATATTTCAAAGGTTCGATACTTTCAAAATTATGTCCTTACTTGATCATACCGAAGAAGAATTATGAATATAATTATGTATTCAACCATTTTCACTTTATTTAGTTAAAATTTACTTTTATTTACTTAGTTAAAATTTGCCTATATTTAAACCAATCACATGATATAGTTTTAACTTTAAAAAAAGTATTATATTTATTGATGTAGACGCTAATAAATTTATATAAGTCAACTATTAAATTCCTAAATTAAATACAAAGTAAAAAAACAAAACTTTTTAGATGGCAAAAAAAGTGGGGAAGAGATACATTAACACATGCTTTCCTAAAATAATTCATCCAGATGTGAATGCCGATGAAATACATGACTTCTTCCAACAAGGCAAAAGCACCCATGGATCACAGGAACGTTGGTTCGAAAGATGTGAGGACTTCACTGACCTTATTACAAGACTACAAAGATCCATTCACATAAACCAAATTATAGCAAGACCTCGATTCCAAGTAAATTTCATAAGTTTTCATTATAATAATCGTTGATTAGATTTAAATTATTTGTACCTATTATCCACATCTACAAGTGAATGATTTTAAAACTTTTCCTGAACCACATATTAACTTTATTTTAAATAGCATAAAAAAACCTGTCAGTATCTACTAGTCCTTAATACTAGTAATGCGGCTCAGTTAGAGGCGCTGGGATCTTCTAGAGTCCTGCTTTTCCTTCCAAAAATGAGGGGAAAGGCTTGGCTCGGAGATCTTGAGTGAATGGTGTTTTTTTTTTTTTGTTTTTTTTTATTTTATTTTTATTAGTTCATATACATTTACTTTTAATATTATTGTTTTTCTGTATTATTTATTGTTGATAGAGCGTGAATGTGCTCTCTGAACACTATTATAAATGTCCTTATTTGTGACAGATTTTAATAATATTTCTCAATAAATATGTTTAAAAAAAATAATAAACTCAAAAAATAAACTCAATCTACATTACAGCAATTCGATAATCTCAATTCCGGCCGGATAACAGTGCCCCAATTCACAAGGGCCCTTGACCTGTGTGAAATTAATACCAATGGTAAAACAAGAATATTTATATCACCACTTGAAATGCAAAAACTAATAGAAGTGTATTCTGAAAGCTACGAACCAGGCTATGTTATGTGGAGACTATTTGTTAATGATATTGAATCAGGTAACGGTATTTGCACGATCAGAAGAAATAAAGAAAATAATATATAAATAAAAATTGTTAATTTATATTATCCCTCTAGGAAACTGCATACGAGATCTCCATAGAAAGCCATCAGCAAATGTCAGCGATCATGAACCAATGGGTCCTCGAAAAGAAGTACTCGACCTAGAGTGCAAATATTCCAGAAGGAAAGAAATGACTTTGATAGAACACCGCAGGGCAGAGCGTATTCTGGAATATGTAAGACAACAACTTCGAGATTGTGAACTATACCAGTTTTTCCGTGCTTTCGACAAGTAAGTATCGGTTAGGTTAAGAGTCGACCCTGATTTATTTCAAAAAATTAAAGAAAGGTTGAGGCCCGGGGGTCCCAATCTTAAATCAGATGTCATTTTCATAAAAAGCGCCCCCCAAAATATAAGAGTCCACCCTGATATCGATTTAATCCGAAAAGTTAAAAAAAACGAGACCCGGGGGGCCCAATCTCAAATTGGATATCATTTTCATAAAAACCGCACCCCAAAACCTATAAGTCGACCCTGATATCGGTTTAATCCCAAAAGTTAAAAAAAAACGAGTTCCGGGGGGCCCAATCTCAAATGGGATATCATTTTCATAAAAAGCCCCCCCCCTCAAAACCTATAAGTCGACCCTGATATCGATTTAATCCCAAAAGGTAAAAAAAGTCGAGGCCCGGGGGGCTCAATCTCAAATTGGATATCATTTTCATAAAAAGCGCCCCCCAAAACCTATAAGTACACCCTGATATCGGTTTAATCCCAAAATTTAAAAAAAGGCGAGGTCCGGGGGGCCCAATCCCAAACTCGATATCATTTTCAGAAAAAGCGCCCTCGAAAACATAAGAGTCAACCCTGATATCGATTTAATCCCAAAAGTTAAAAAAAGATGAGGGCCGGGGGGCCCAATCTCAAATTCGATATCATTTTCATAAAAAGCGCCCCCCAAAATATAAGAGTCGACCCTGATATCGATTTAATCCGAAAAGTTAAAAAAATTTGAGGCCCGGGGTGCCCAATCTCAAATTGGATCCATAAAAAACGCCCCCCAAAACATATACGTCGACCCCGATATTGAATAAATCGGAAAGGTGAAAAAAAAATTAGGTTAAATAAAATAAAAACTTTTTTTTTCAAAATTACTCATGGCGTTAAAATTTTTCATGAGTAATTTACTCATGGAGATAACATTTTTCACGAGTGATTTACTCATGGAGGAAAAATGTTTCATGAGTAATTTTCAAAATTACTCCTGGCTAAGCTTCCAAGAGTGATCACTCGTGACGTCACTGCTCGACATTTACTCGAGTAAATGCCCAACTCTGACAAATGGACTCCAACCTAGATCCAACAAAAATCTGAAGAATCCTTGTTATATAATTATAATTATTTTAAAAATAATAACAGACGTTGTAGTAAGTGAGAGTATGCTTTTATGTTGGATGATTATACTAGTGGCAATTTAGAAGGTTTGCATTAGCACAATATAAAACCGAAGCATCTTCTTGTAGTGCTTGTAAGATCAGCAAAAACAATTGTAAATATTTAAGCAATTTCTCTCAAAAAATGTCATTGCTTTTGGAACTGTATCACTATAATTGCCATTCTTCTAAACCTAAGCCATCCCAGCCCAACAATACTCTAACTAAATCAGGACTAATAATTAAAGTATTATTGATAACACAATTTATAAAACTATAAATAAAAACCGCACTTTAAAAATATCAGTATACCTATAAGATATTCGATATAAAATATCAGAGAATATTTATAATATTCATAATAAATGTAATGTTTCCGAAAACATTCATCGAAGACTTGAATACGGTGGATGAATTGAAAAAATAAAATATTCTTAGTATTCATTGATTTGGGTAACCCTACGTACCTGGCCTAATCATATCATTATATACCCATCTTGTATACGCGAGGATGGGGGTCGTTCAAGACGTACAATCAAACCTATTTTAACCAGAGTGGGACTTTTGCAGATCACAAAAAATATGTTAGTGTGATTAAGATTTTGGTGACTTACTTTCCACATTTGGCTTGTGGCTGCTTTGTTAATGATTTTGCACTCCTCCAACCTAGGTAGGTTACTAATAGGCTGGGGAGCAGTGTTCCTTCCTTAGCCAATCGGGCTCCAATATTATTCCCCGCAACCCCACAGTGTCCTGGAATCCATTGCAGAACCACCTCTTGGTACTGCGCTCTTAGATCTTCCAGCTCCTCAGCCAATGTGCCCAGCGAACTCTTCCATTTATTTTTAGGCATTCAAGAACGGATGCTGCATCTGTCAGGAATACAATGCATGGCAGCGGACACCTCTTAAGAGCCTTTAGGATCATCGCTACAGTCAGAATGGAGTCATGCTCAGCTCTATAGTTCGTTGAGACGAGTCCAGTAGGAAGAGTTTTTTAGAGAATTTGTACGTTAGGGAATTAAAAATGGACGCCCCTCTCCACTCCCTCCGTTTGTATACCCTCGTCCATTTATTCTAAGGATAGGCCGAGTTAATGTGCTCTAGAGTGCAGGCTTTGGCTACCAGAGTGTCTAGATCACTTTAACTTGTTATGCCTGTGATTTTAATAAAGATGACACCAAAGATTTTTGCTACTAGAAGTCGTTGTTTCTCGGCACAGAATGAAAAACAGTCTGAAAATTTTCAATATACGGTTTTCCAATTAGACAATGAAAACATATGTGAGGTTGTTGAGTTAGTGAAGGAACTCGTGAAGGAAGATGCTTATGAGACACTCCGATCGAGGATATTGAGGTGCTATGGAGAATCCGATAGCGGACATATTCGTAAGTTATTGGATGAACAACAGCTCGACGACAGACTACTCTCAAGCAATCTCTAACAGCTTGCGGGTACGTTGGTTATCGCGGACCTCATAAAATTTATTTGGTTGCTCAGAATTCCTGAGGGTAAAAAGCAGTCCTCGCAGCAAATGATTAACAGGGCTTGGAGAAGATCAGCGGAGTAGCCGACCGAATAGCCTAGATAGGTAAGACCAAAATTCGGAGAGGTTGGTACGGTAAAACTAGCTCGTCATGCTACTTAGGAAGACCTATTGTTTTTGACCATGGAGAAATTAAGATAGAGAATGGCAGGATTAGAAGCCCGCGAGTCATTAACGGGAGCTGCTCTGCAGCGTCGAAGAAAGGGATTATTCTTCTATCACTAGAAGGAAATGACAGGTTCGGCGAAAGGGCTAACAAGAGTGTAGCTCCATGCAGTTGGACGTGTGGGTCAAAGCTGCCTGGAAACTAAACTTGGTAGCTGAGGCGGAAAGTTCTGCTAGACCTGTCAACCGCCGTCTTTCGTTTTTGACCGCCAGTTGCTTACTAGCTGTTTGGGTGACATAGGGGTTTCACTGTCGGTTTTTCCAGTTAAGAAGTCTTTGAAGACAAAGCTTGGTGAATTTTTCTAATATGTAGCCAATGGAACTCCTATCCCCACTCACGGAGAAAGCCTTATTGAGTTGGATCTAGGAGTATGAAGAAGAATAACCTGTCACTTTATTCTAGAAGTAGGACAACTTATCATCGGTGCAGATTTGATTTTTCACCACAAGCTTATTGTGGATCTAGCGGGATGCCATGGGAGGACGAGTTCTTCAACTAAGTGTAGACTAACCGGTATAGCAGAGCCTACCAGTTCATTCGTAGAAATATATACTATAATGTGTTCTTAGTGTAATACATTAGATTAGGTACTAATCTATCTATCGATCGTATACACTAAAAAATATTGTGGGGAGGGGGATCGCCCCTCACTCGAAATCTGCACCTATAGTTTTTATAAATAAGCACGGTAAAGTTATATCTTTATGTTATATCTTTATATGATTTTGTACCATTTTAATTACATAAGTAGTTTTTTCGAAGAATGTTTGCTCTTCTAAGAAACTTGAATTAAATTGTACAAGCTACAACTCTTGTAGGTAGGTATATCTGGGTAGGTAGGTATATATAAATAATAGAAAAACTGAAAAAAAAAATCAATATTTTCGTTTTCACGCAACTCTGCCAAATTGTAAAAATACGAGATTAAGGCCGTTATACACGAGTTTTAATACTATAATTATTATTACTATTTTTTTAATTTTTACTATTAATAATATTGTTAAAACTCATTACTTATTCCAGGAAATGTCCCAAACACTCTCGTCCGTGTGCGAATAGTTATGGTTCCTCACTGTCAGCTAAGAACACCTGTTTGAGACGGCTATTGATATATCTCAAATTTATACCCTCTTACCTACGTTTAAGTTTCTCTTAATTAAGATTTTACTTAATACATTTTCCGGCAAGAGTGCCAAGAAAATAACCTTACTTTACAACATTACTTTGAGTGTTGTGTTCGGTGTTGTTCGTTATTCTTGTTAACAATTTAAGAATGAATTACTTAAATTAGTAATTAAGAAACCTAACCGGGTAAAACGGTTTAAATTAGTGTTTCTTCGACTTTATTTCCGGGACTATAGAGCTGCTACCCCAACCGCGTTATGAGTATTATGCACTCAAATTATTATTTTTTAGGGAGAACCGAAGGCATATAACAAGAAATCAATTTCGGGAAATTATGCGAATAAGTAATGTTTTACTAAGAGAACAAGATGTTTACGACCTGGAATTATATTTTGTAGACTACTACGGATTTTGTTACATGTTCTTCCTCCAAGTTTTCGGCATAATTACTCCGCCACCAAGATTGGTACGTATTATTTTATTTAAGTTGCCTTACTTAATAATTTAATAACGATGGTTACTTATAAATCTATATACTCTTTCCTTTACAGGGTGCCCAATATAGGTCGGACCGAATGTTTGGTCGGACTGACAACCACACATATGGTCTGATAAAAAAATGTCAGAAGGATAAATTGTTATACTTCTATAGTATCAACAAACGATCTTGTTTTTTAACTTTCACGCGCAGACGCGACTAGCGCTCTGTAAAAAGGTTTTCGGATAACACCTATATTATTTTTGTATATTTTCCTTTATGCATGTGTATTCTCATTTGTAGTCATTAAAATGTACCAAATCTGTAGATGTAGTATTTTTTCTGAAAAATGCACAAATTAAATACAAATATCTCGAAAAAAAACATTTCGATGTCTTAAGTATATACGCCATTTTAGATAAAATATTGAATTATCAATGTCATTATTATTTTTCAGGTACCAAATAAACTGAATTAATTGAGAAATGAAACATCATTTTTATGTATCTTTTCGTCGTCTTTCTATTAAAATATTGTAACCTTGTAAGTGTAGTATTTTTTTGAAAATTGCAAAAAAGTAGTTTCTGAAAAGATTTTTCCATTATAATGAAAAAGGAACTGATTATATGGGATTTCTAATGTTTCTTAGTAATGCTTTATGGGATGGCCCGGTATTCCGTTTGTGGACAATCAGACCAGCAATTTCACTTGGTGTGCCGTAATCCATATTTTGGAAATAGATAGAGTCCATAATAATTTATTTGTAATAAAATGTATATGTATATTTGTAAATCAATAAACATTTTAATATGATACGATCTATTTTACTATCGCAAGTGAAAAATCATTTCACAAACTACTTAATGCATTTAAAAAAAAAAAGTGATATATTTACAGACGTGGTACATTTCATACAACCAATAGAAAGACGATGTAAATATTTTCAGTAGTATCTATTTACGATTTTATGGGGACTGGATGGATAAGAAATGATTGAACAGGCGGGATTTAAAGGTAGGAAGGGTATTAGATTGACGGATATGGGAAGGGATGGAGTTCAATACAGATGAGGATCGGATAATGAACGATTTGTCGAAAGCAGCTGTTCGGTGGGCCCTTATGTATAAATCAGAAGAGCGAGAACGAGTATTGCGGGAACGAACAGAGGATTTGAATTGAAGGACCTCGGAGATGTATGAGGGATGGTGGGATTGGATGACTTGAAAGAGGAAGGATGCCAGGAAATACTTACGACGGTAGGAACGATAAAGCCACTTTAACTCCGCGTAAAAATGAGAAACAGAGGCGTCCCTTGGGATCCCGAAGATGAATCGTACAAAACAATTTATCAAACGTTTTAGTTTCGCCTCGTTGATTTTTAGGGATCTTTCATAACTTTTTAATGACTATAAATGAGAATATACAAAAGTAGGTTTTATCTGTAGGAGAGAACGAAAAAAAAAAGAAAAAAAGTTGCGGGTGTCAAGTCAAAATCAAAAAGAAATATAGGTTTTTGAAACTATAGAAGTTGATTTATAACTTTTCCCTCTAGTATTTTTTTTTATTAGATCATCCATTTGACCGAGAGAAGGACTTGGTACGATTTATATTGGATATCTTGTATCAAATCCAAATATGCTACACAGTGTTATATTTAGTAACTATAAAATACATATTTGAAAAACATGCTATATGTTCAACTATAGATTTTATTAGGCTCGATTTTATAAACATTTCATCAACCTTTAATTCATGAAAAAACTGTTTAAGGTACCCACTGAGGACATAAACAAATATCGAAAAGTGGCTTCAACATCTGGTTATGCACCATACGAAGCAGAAGGTACTACTGGAGTAGAAGTCTTAACCAAGATCAGACACACCGTTAGTACATTTTTGTTGGTATAATAATTAGATAAATAGATGAATGCAGTTTATCCAATTAATTGAGCAAAACAATGAACTTGGAGAATATAAACATATGTAACTTGGAGATATATAGCGAATAAACATCCATTCTTAACGATCAAAGACAAAATAATAATAATAAATTGCAACTTCTGTTATTTAAATATGTATAACTGATCAAACATAATTGCTTAGCAAATGTATTAAATATATATAAACATAGTATTAAACTCTAACCAAAGGCACTACACAGAGTAATATGAAATATGTATTCATATACCTTACATAAAACAAAACAAAGAAAATTATAAAGCAAAAAAAAAATCCTTATTATATAATAGATATTTAGTCAGCGTCCGTCTGCGTTGTGGAAGTCCAGGGGAACTGGAAAATGAGAGTTTTGAATGTGGATAAGAAGAGGGAATGATGAATTTTTAGAGGGAGAGAATTACAAAACATGATTTAGCGGGCAATGAAGGAGTTTCGGAACGAGAAAGGCTATAAAAAGGAGTACAGAGGTCAGAGGGTCGCACTAGCAGATCCAGGATTTAATTTTTTTGGGGGGGGGCTTCAGCCCGAAAGCTTTTTTTTCATAAAAATAACGATAAATACTTTGGAAAAAAAGAAATAAACTAACTACCTGTATGAAATGGTGTTTAAGTGATTTCTAAAGCCCTTTTAAATGTAATTACACGAACAATAATACTTCGAGAGATAATTTTTTTATATTTTTTTCGAAAAAACATGGTTATATTTGGATCCCCCCCCCCCGTAGATCCGCCCGTGGAGGGTAGAGATCTTGTGGAGAGAGAATGGACGGAGGACTTGACATAGAGAAGATTGTATGGATGGGATGAGCGAAGGTTGTTGATTATTTGGTAAAGGAATGTGCCTAGGAAATATTGTCTCCTAAAAGAGAGAAAGAGCCTCCCTACTCACCATAATATTGGGAAACACAGGAACGTCTCGGGGTTCCATTAACGAATCTCATGATGAATGTATTAAGAGAAATGCATATACAAATTTTAGTCTATTGGCGAAGTAATGAAAAGTCCTGTCTTCGACTATTCTTTTTGGACTTACCATCACATCAACCGTGGCGCTACAACTCATGAGTTAAGGCCTCTTGCAGCTTGGTCTACCACTCTTCTCTATTGGTTGTTACTGCTCTCTAGTTGCAGATTCCCAAGATAGACCTCACATCCGTAGCTACTCCATCGATTCATTTGAGCCGTGGTCTTCCCACTCTTAATGTTCCCCCTATAAACCCTTTCGTCAATGATCATCCTAGGAATTTTATCCGGAATCATTCTAATTATATGTCCTGCCCATCGAAGGCGTCCTACTTTTATCAGTCTACAATCTGGGGCTCTTGTAAAGTCTTGCTAGCTCAGCATTTGTCCTTATCCTCCAGGTTCCAATGGCGCAAGGTGGGCCGTAAATTCTACTCAATATTTTCCTCTCGAACCTTAGATGAATGGCCTCCTATATATACTAGAGAATGTCCAACATTTGGAAGCATAGGTGAGGACTGATCTCATCCGAATCATGTAATTTAATATAATTGGACCTTTGTATTTCGATAAGTAGCCTTGGTTCTGAAATGTTTCAGTAATCCGAAATAGCGTTTATTTGCTGACATAATTCTGCGATGGATATTAGCTTGTATGTCATTATCAGCGATTACTTGTGAACTAATATAAACAAACTCTTTTACCCTTTCAAGTGAATAGCCTCCAGCCACAAAGTGAGGCATCCAGGAGTGTGCATGTGTTTGGGTTTTGATTCATTATCTTCCATATCCATTCTAGTCAGTTGCTATATGGAGATTGATAAAAGCGTTTTCCAAATCTGTAAGGATTCTTTCAATAATATATGTCATCACATCAGCGAAGGTCAGATTAATTTTACATTTATGTAGTATAGTTCCCTCAACTTGTATTCCTGATTTTCACACCGCACTTTCGAGGGCCAAATTAAAGAGCAGCCATGCGAGTGCTTTATGGGTTTTAAAGCTATCGTTCATGACACCCTAAACATGCACTGTGCATTGCGCCTTCTTCATTGTAGCCAAACTAAGACGTGTCAGCTTCTCGGTATTGTTCCTATTTCTATAAAATCCTGGTACAGCTCATTTACATTTGAAAGTCGAAGAATAGGTGATTTGTATAGATATTATATAATCTGCATCTCTGTAGAATGCTTTTAATGAAGAAAGTATGATCTATAGTTAACATTCCTCTTATGAAGCTTGTCTGGTGCTCCTTTATTCTGTTCAGCAAAAGGAAGCAGTTTTTCATAAGGTATCCGAAAGAATACGTTATAAGCACATGGTAAGGGATATACCGCGATAATTACTACATTCAAGCACATCTCTCTTCTTGTAAATCGGAAAGATTACTGCTTTTAACATTGAGAGGGGACTTCCTCTCTCTTCCAGATATCCATTATTATATTATAGAGAAATTTCACTATTTTTTCTTCTGCATGCTTATACAGTTCTGCAGGAAGTACATCCCCGGTTCCGGTACATTATTATTTTTTAGCTCTTACACCGTTTCATATACTTCGTGCATATCAAGGGCCTCCAATTCCGTTAGGGCTATCTCTATTTCCTCTCTTCCTTAATCTACTTCATCATTAAGGAGAACATGGAGTTCTCAATATAAGCTGACTCAGAACTTACCAGATTGTTTTTCGTTGATGGGCAAAAGACAAAACACTTTTAAATGTAAATAAAAATAATGCAATTAAATAAATAATGAGAAATATAATAATGAATATATTAAAAACTTGAACATTCTCACAAAGGACTGAGAACAAGATATAGTTTTATATCTTTAGTGGATGTTATATTAAGAACTACGAAAGATCACAAAAATTATTCAGTATAATGTGTAAAAAGTGTTAAAAGCCAATCCAAAGATTGCTGTATAAACAGCTTCATAATGATTATGTAAACAGGAAACAAAACATGTATAAGTCAATAACGATATTTATTTAATTGTTTTAGGTATTTCAGAGGAGTTTAAGACTGAAATATTTTTTTGAAACTTTCGATAGATTCAACACAGGAGTAATGGACGAAAATACCTTTCTCCGAGCACTTTCATCAGCCCATAATTGGGCATTCACGTATTCAGAGTACAAGAAACTTATGGCAATGTAAGTGTTACATTATTTAAAGAGCGTCAATAGAAAATAAATATTTAACATGTAAATAAGAATAAAACAGTTATTTATTCTAAGATATATGAAAAAAGCAATATAATAAAAAATGATGTATAATTAAAACCATCATGCTATTTAAAATATTTTGAAGTACGTCTTATACGCTCGTACACACATAGACATTCCCTTCATATAATAATCTTGCAACTATATATATATATATATATATATATATATATATATATATATATATATATATATATATATATATATATAATAATAATAATAATAATAAGGCTTAGCGAACCCGAAGGTTCGATGCCGACACCACCAATCGCTTGTTACACACCTCCCTCCACCGTTCGCCGTCCAACCCCAGTCCCTTCAGATCGGCTTTAATGCAATCTTCCCACCTTCGCTTCGGTCTACCCCTCGGACGCTTACCATTCGGCACAGCAAATATTAACCTTTTAGGGATTCTCTCGTTACTAAGCCCAACAACTTTACAAGCCCATTTGATTCGCCGCGATGAAATTACATCAATTATATTACCCGGATACAGCTCACGCAATTCGGCGTTGTGTAACCGTCTGAACTCTCCGGTTAACTCATCCTTCTTCGGTCCGAATATTCTACGCAATACTTTATTTTCAAAAACCTTAAGACGCTGCTCATCCCTTAATGTAAGTGGCCAAGTTTCGCATCCATAAAGAACTGTAGGCAAGATAATTGTTTTATAGATTCTAATTTTTAGGTCCCGGGACAAGAGGCGCGAACTAAGTAGTTTTGTCACAGAAAAATAACAAGCATTTCCCGCCTTCAGTCTAACTTTAATCTCTTCTTCAATTTCGTTTTTTCTAGTTATCGTTGAACCTAGATACCTAAACTTATCTACCTGTTCAAACATATTACCATCTATATCGATGTCACCAGTAGTATCGCCATTTTTGCAGCTAACCATATATTTTGTTTTATCCACGTTTATTTCGAGTCCTAGTTCTTTCCCGGCTTTCATTAACGTTGTCGTATTTAGTTTTATAGTTTCAACGTCTTCGCTTAACAGTACCAGATCATCAGCATAGCCCAGCACGGATGTTGTCCCGCCCAGATCCAACCCTTTCTCGGTTCGCATTACCTCCCTAATGGCATGTTCTAATGCCAAATTGAACAGGACAGGCGAAAGTGAATCCCCCTGTTTTAAGCCCGAACGAACCTCAAATTTTTCGGACAAATTATTACCGATTCTAACTTTATTGAGTGTCTCCGTCAAGCACATCCTGACTAGATTTACTAGTTTTTTTGGAATCCCCTGCTCAATTAGAATATTATACAGTTTCTGGCGGTCAATAGAATCGTAAGCCTTTTTAAAATCTATATACAGCTGGTGAACAATACCTTTGTACTCCAATTTTTTCTCTAATATTTGCCGTAAAGAAAATATTTGATCAATAGTCGAACGATTCCGTCTAAATCCGCATTGGTAGTCTCCGATAATTTCCTCGGCGTATTCCGTAATTCGACTGGTTAAGATTGAAGTGAATATTTTATAACATACCGGAAGGAGTGAAATTCCTCGATAGTTATTACAATCCGTCCTCGGACCCTTTTTGTGAATCGGAATAAGAATAGATTCTTTCCATTCTTCAGGTAATTTCTCGTTCACCCAGATCTTTTTAACCAACCGATGTATTTTAGAAACTCCAGCTTCCCCGCATGCCTTAATTAGTTCAGTAGGAATATTATCGATTCCCGCTGCTTTATATGATTTTAATTTTCCGATAGCTACTTCAACTTCCTCTTTACTTGGTCCTTCTATTAACGGTTCAGCACTCTGGTACTCAGAAGGAGGACACAGATCATAATTTCCCGTATTTAAAATATTGTCAAAGTGGTCCTTAAACTTATTCAATATGTCAACCGGATCGGTCAGAATATTGTTATTATCATCCCTAATTCCAGACGTTACGGGCCCTACATATTTACGTGATCTGTTTATACCTTTGTACATGTCTCTTACGTTATTTTCGATTCTATTAGTTTCTATTTCAATTATTTTATTTTTAAGATACTCCCTTTTTTTATTTTTGAGCAATTTTGTCGTTTCGTTCTTTGAGATTCGGAAGTATTCCAGATTGTCTTCGCTAGGATTATTTAGAGCTTTTAATTTAGCGGCTTTTCTTTTTTCGCACATGTTTAAGCAATCTTCATCAAACCACGGTTTGTTATTCTTAGTTTCCTTTTTTCCTAGGCACGAGTTACCGACCGCTTTTATATTATCCCTGATCTCTACCCATAACTTGTCAATATCCTCGTGGTCCTCGTCAGGAAGCTCTAAAGCTTCAAACCTATTCTTAACATCTAGCTCGAATTGGTTTCTAATTGATGGATTTTTTAATTTTTCCAAATTAAAATTCTCAAAATCGAAACGGTTTTCTTTTCTCTTTTTTATATTAAGTTTTTGTCGAAGTTTCGCGATTACTAATTCATGATCCGACCCACATTCTGCTCCGCGATAAGACCGTACATTGATTATACTGCTTTGCCAGCTGTGTTGTATCAAGACATGATCTATTTGATTTCGTGTTTGCGAATCCGGTGATGTCCAAGTATATTTATGAATATCCTTATGTTTAAACGTCGTACTTTTAATTATCAGGTTTTTCGAGATGGCAAAGTTTATCAGACGGATCCCATTATCATTACTATATTCGTGCAAACTTTCTTTACCAATCGTCGGAATATAAACTTCTTCCCTTCCTACCTTTGCGTTCGCGTCACCTACAATTATTTTCATGTAGTTTCGCGGTAGTTTATCATAAACCCATTCGAGTTTATCGTAAAATTCACTTTTGACTTCATCGTCACTGTCTTCGGTCGGACAATGTATGTTTATTAATGCGATTTTGAACCAACGTCCCTGAAATATAGCTACCGAAATTCTATCACTAAAGAATTGTACGTCGCTCAAAGCGGATAGTAATCTACTCCTAATTAGAAACCCGGTACCTACCCGGTACGATATATATATATATATATAGAGAGAGAAACACTTTATTTTCATAAAATATAAAGGATTGCTGCCCAATTATATTGGGTTGCTATATACACAGCATACTCTTCTATCCCTAAGACAATATATGAACTTATATATAAATATACAGAAGTATTAGTTAATATTAGTACAATAGAAATATATATATACATTTTTATTATTTTATTTATTTTTATAATTTTTTTTTTTTTTCCTTTTTCCTTCTTCTCATTGTTCATGCTTTTTTTTTTTTTTTTTTTTTTATTTAACATTAAGTTTCCCTTTCTCTCACTTCTCTCTCTTTATCTCTATTGTTTTCAATTATTCACTAAATAAATAAATAAACAAATACATAAATTAAAACTCTCGGGCTAGCCATGCACGTGGTGGTGAATGATTCCCAGGGAGTCGAGGACTATATTTTCAGCCAACCTCGCTACGTCCTTAATGTCGACACCTAGTTCCTCGAGGAAGCTCCTTGTTCTTTTTGGGATAGTTCCGCGAGACCCAAACCAGAGGCCTCTCACGGTGAACTCTCTCTCTCCGAAGGTCTCACGGAATTTCTCTTTTAGGAAAGGGATACATTTATCGTACGTGTTCTTCTTTTCCCTTTCCACTTCACCCGCCTGATCGAGGTCATTGCTCTCAAAGCGGACAGTTGGATCCAAGATCAGCGCTGTCCTTCCTGTCTTGGGAAATGCGACGATATCAGCGTATCTCGTAGAGCCTTCACTATCGATGCAATATACCTCGTCAAAGCAGGTGAATTTTTTTTCCCTAAGGAGCCTCATCAACTCGAACTTGACCCGGTGGTGACGACGTGTTATGAGGAGGGAGTTGTTGGGGCATTTTCCCAGCACATGGGCTGGTGTTTCAGACTCTCTGCCGCATTTACGGCAGAGGGACCCAACTTCTCTGACCTGTCCGCTGACTCCTGGGACTCCACGCAGGGGTGCATAATTGATGTTTAGTTTTAGGGCATTCGACCATTCAGACCCAGAAAGTACTTGCTTTTCGTAGATGTATCTATTCGCTTTCGGGGTCTCTTTAAAATGGCGAACACCAATACCCTGCCACCTGCAGTTGGCCCATTCCTCAAATGCATTTTCTCGTAGCGACTGCCGTAGAGCTTTCACATTTCGATGACCCTGATCAACCCCCAATCTCTCGGCACATTCAGCAATTTCAGCCGAATAATCGAAGGTAGACTGAAAAAGGGCATCTGGTACATTGGACAGTCGCTGAGCAATGGACCAATGTTGAAGAGGAGCCTCCCATTGGCAGCGGATTAATCCCAATCCTCGGTATCTCCTGGGGGCATATAACATCGCTGTGGAAGTATTCGCAGGGAGTCCAATAATGGCCTTTACGCTCCTGCGAATCATAGTGTCGATGCCCTCCAGTATAGCAGGACGTAGCTTTGTTAGGGGCGCAGTTTGGAGAGGGTAAGTAAGACCCGGGAACAGATATTGATTGACAATGTTGAGTTTCTGCTCAGGTTTAAGTAAGCAAGAGGTTACCAGCTTGTTTAGATTATCATTCAATTTAGTCACCGAATCTTCGTTGAATTGCAGCTCTCCCGAGAATGTACATCCTAAATACTTAATCGTATCTCCATTCTTCAATGTTTGGATGTACTCACCATTCTCAAGGGAGAGCACCGTCGTTTCCAGCTCTCCTTTATTTATAACGATGCCCATACTTTTTTGAGGATTTATAGCCAGACCAATTTCTTTAAATGTTCTTTGTATGCTGTCAATCACTCTTTCTGCAGCCCCCTTGTCACGCGCCGACACTGCCTGGTCATCCGCGAAACCTGTGAGGACCACACAATCCTGCTCATTCCTTAATTTGTATCCAAATTTCTTGGAAAAGTCCTCGTCACACAGGTCGCGGTAGAGATGATCGATGGCCAGGTTGAAGAGTGAAGACGACAGGGGGCCGCCTTGGGGTACACCGCGCAGCACTTTGATCTGGCTAGTTGCATGGACACCGTTGCCAATCTTTATGGTGTTCGTGCTAAGGAGAGCTGATATGACATTTGTAAGATTCGGTGACACACCTCTCGCTTCTAAGGAGCTTACGATGTGTTTGTGCCCAACATTGTCAAAAGCACCGACAACGTCGAGGAAAACTATCGCACAGTCATTTTTCATTTTTTGTGCATCTTTTAATACCGCGTCGATGATCCTCGCGTTGACGTGCGTTCCCGGGAGGCCTTTTATAAAGCCTCTCTGACTCTTGTGGAAGGTGACCTGCTTTCTTAATTCGTAGTCCAGAACCTTCTCTATGATTCGGCGCACAATCGAGTATATGGTGATCGGTCTCCAGGTAGAGATATTGTTTATATCACCTTTGCCCTTATATATCAATATTGTGCGCCCTTGTCGAAGTGGTTCCGGAACATAGGCCACCTTCAGCATTATCTCTGCAATCGTTTTAATAATGCTTGATACGTCAAAATATTTTATTGTGCGGATCAGAACTCCATCAGGCCCCGGCGATGTGTCCATTGATGTTGATTTAATGGCTTTCCTGATAGCTTCTATCTCAATGGACAGCAAATCCGGCATCGGGGCACACTGTTCGTAATCCGCACGCCCGCAGAGATTTTCGCTCTCAAAGAGGTCTTTATAATGCCTCTCGATTTCGGCCATTTTTAGAGGACACCGTTCAGGAGTCGTCGGCAATCATTACAGTTTGCACAACCTTTTTTCTTTTATTATAATAATTATATTGGGCAACCTCGTACTGATACTGCTCTTGCCGACGACTCCTGTCTACTTTGTTTGCCCTCTGCGGATTTGAGACTTGTCCAGCACCCTTGTCAGCCATTTTCATTTTATTTTTTTTCCTCATCCTATAAAATTTTACGGCTGGGTGCTGGGGACCTGGCAGTTCCGCATTGATGACTTTGAGGAACTTTAGGAACTTGCCTACGGCCTCATCAAAATCCGCAGTATTTACCATATCTTGCTTTAAAAGGTTCTTGAACGTAGTAGACCATTCAACAATGTCCTCTTTTATTTTTGATGACTCACCCTCTCCATTTCTAGGACCTATCACGTTCTTTACTATGCCCCTCAATGTATTGTTATTCGCCTCCCTGGGATGTTTTTTTGCAATGTGGGTTCCGAGACCTCGTTCGCCCTTAAAAGAAAGCCCGCATATCAGACAAACTTTATCATCAGGGCGTAGAGCTTCATTTTGCCGCTCACTAAGTACCTCTGCGACATTCAGCGGATCATTTGGCAATCTGGGAAAGACATCATCTATCGACACCGTCTTTCCCAATACCACACCTTCTGTGTCAGGCCATTCTACTTTAATAAATTTATTTTCTCCGCCTCCTGCAGTAGCCACAGACATCACAGAGGCAACAACCGCCTCTTGAACAGGTCCTCCAGTTCTCAGAACCCATACCTTTTGTCCAACTTCGATCTTCTTCGTTGGTATTTTGTTCATTGCAATATTTTTTTTTTGTTCTAGACTATGCCCACCACGCGCATGATTGAAACAATCTGTGCATAATTAAATAAATAAATAAATACAAAGTTAAAAACTATAAAATTAAGTGTTAAATAGTGTTATAGTTAAAATATAAAATCAATAAAAGCTTAAAAAAATATACATCTATCAAATAAATTGCTTATAAATAAGTTACAATATAAAATCAGTAAAAAGTTTAAAGTTAAAATTTAAGTACAAGTTAAAAATAAGTGAAAGTTAAAATCTAAAAAAGTTAAAATCTAAGAAAGTTAATAAGTTAAAATCTAAAAAAAGAGTTAAAAAGTCAAAGTCTAAAAAGGTTAAAATCTAAAAAAGTTAAAATCTATAAAATAATTTCCTGAAATGAGTTAAAATGTAAAATCAATTAACTGTTAAAAAGTTAGAATCTAAAAGAATAAATAAATAAAACAATAAAAATAGTAATTGCCTAAATCAGTTAAAAATAAAAAGATAAAAATTTAAGTAGTTATAATCTAAAAAAAAACAATATACATCCACCTATCCACATCACATTATCAAACCTAATATATAAAATAAATTACAAAATATAGGATCATTAAATACTTTTAAAAAAAAGAAAAAATTCAGTTCAGCAATAGTAAATTTAAAAAAAAAAAAAAAAAAAAAAAAAAATGTCCACTTTAAAAATTTGATTTAAACCGTTCTATAAATAATGAATTATGATAGTAAAAACTTATTTTTTTTCTTTTTATATTTTATGAGAGAAAGGGATCGAATATAAAAATTACTAAGTGTCAAATTAGTTGGGCTCCGTCGATGATTGTATTGATGAGACGACACTGACCTTGCTGAGCGGTGGAGGGGGCCGACAGGTTCCAGGCTGCAAAGTGATAAGGCTCCGGTCCCACAAGTATTATCACTTTCGTTGCCTTCTGATTCTGGCTAATATCCTAGCTCAATTTTCATAAGATCTCATATGCAGGTCTTTAACATACAGCTCCGTCTAGGTGCGAAATTGCAGCTCAATTGGATGAAAAATACTCAATAATAGACGATGATGACGTGGAGCTGATCTTTCTTTCTCACCGGCTCAAGCCGAACTCCCGAATAATAAAGTGTATATATATATATATATATATATATATATATATATACACTTTATTATTACATATACATATTTTCTAACAATTATATTCACAATAGTTCAAATATTGATAAACAGGAGTTGTGTTTTGAAGAAAAGTAGTTGAAGCATACTGATTCATAGGCGCGGACTTTCCATTTTTATCCGAGGGGGTGGCGATGGACCAACAAAAGAAATGGTGAGAGGTCATTTTATGTGAAAAATTCAACATAATTATTGTGATACGAACAACAATAATACTGAATATTTATAAATAAATTTAAATATACTGGAAGAAGATTTTTTGTTTATGCATATGGATATGTTAGATACATTTTGGATATATAACAGGATGTACTTGAAAATATCTGGATCTTGAAAAAATAACAATTGGATATAATACGTTATACGGTATACGTTAAACATGGGGGAGGAAGACAGCCTCCATAACATAAGTACATTTCAATAACTTTCCTAACTAAAATGAATAATGTTAAAAACTGAAAAATATTTTTGATTTCATAGTTTATACAACTTCAAAATAAAAATAAAACTTTTCTACAGTTTGACTAGTTATGTGAAAATTTCAATAAAAAACATTCACTATATAATGTATTTATTAAATTTATTTTTTTCAACTGTACCATACAAAATGTGATAAGAATAATAATAATGATAAGAATCACGTGAAAATGGAAGAGGGCACATGAGAGGTGAATCATAAAATCCTAGGGTACGTTGTTATATTATAATCCCCATATGTAAATGAAAATTTAAAAAATAAGAAGAGTTTATTTAATTTAGGTTGTGATGAAGTAGTAACGTAACTATTTTTACAATATACATTTACAATATATAATATACATTTTTATATTATACTAGTCGAATTTTTTTAACCGATTTTGGTTTGCTTATTTTTGTAATTTCATGTAGCTTATTTGTTATAAATTTTAATTTTTAATTATTTCAAATTATGGAGGGTGGACGAACTGGTATTCCCGGACTCTCAATACTTTTTTTTGTGAGGGGGGGGGAGAGTGGGTAGAGGCGATCTTCACCCTCGCTCCCTCCTCCGTTAAGTCAGCACCTATCAACTTATTAAGTTTGTGGATCAATATAACTTTTATAGTATCTTCATTACTTATTAAAAATTTCAGAAAGTTATTCTATGTATCTTAGAAATTTTTCAATTTACATTTCAAGTAAAGGTATAATTAAATATTTTATTCGATTACTCCTTTACTGTTACAATTGTTTAGTCCATTATAAGTAAATTATTGTAAAATTAATTCCAACAGGTTCCGAAGGCCGTTAGCAGAAAACGACATTGAGTACAAAAAATTTCTAAGTGCTCTTGACGAATTGTACACACAGCCTTGTCTAGAGCAATCACCGCTTGTGAAACCAGTTCCATACCAAGGATGGAAAGATCATGTGCAAGAGCTCACGCTCAAAGAAAGGACCGAACTCGGAAAAGCCATACACAAGATTGTCCACAAGGGCTTGTGCTTGGATCATTTAGTTGCCTTTAAGGTATAAGCAAGAATGAATTATTAGTATGTTATTAAAAATAAAATAACTGAAAACTAAATATATTTTACAAATTTAAAGGTACTAAAATAAAATAAAAAAACTTATTGCTAAAGGTGTTACCTAAGCATGTAAAATATTTATTAACTTAATCAAAAAACGTTTGTGCATAAAAGTCAAAAAAGCAATGGTTGCGCTGATGGAAAGATGCAGTGGTTAGCTAAACAAGAATGGCGTACATAAACCGTTATTTCCTCTAGTACTATTACTATTATTATTGTTATTACTATTCCACTATAGATACCGCTGCTAAGTGGATATTTTGTTCCAACTTACCTACCTGTTCCAGAAATACTTGCTAATAACTCATAATTGGTACTTTGTCCCAGCCTTGTGATCTTCCCTACCGATTCCAAAAATACAAACTGATACCTAATATCTAAACCAGTTTTTCCATTAGTACTATGTACGGCAACTAGGTGAATATTTTGTCCCAACTTACCTTTTACAGAAATACTAGCTAATCTCTATAGCCCAGTCAATGAATGCTCGAAAATAGGTTAAAGAAGAAAATGGCAGGGACACAATTTTTTACTTAGAGAAATTGTTTCGCCGCCATCTCCTTCTATAATTATTCATTTACTGGACCACTAGCGGATCCCGGATTTAATTTTTTTTTTTATGGGGGGGGACTTCAGCCCGAAAGCTTTTTTTTCATAAAAATAACGATAGTTACTTTGGAAAAAAAGAAAGAAACTAAATATCTATATGGAATGGTGTTTAAGTGATTCCTAAAGTCCTTTTAAATGTAATTACACGAACAATAATACATTAAGAGATAATTATTTTAGTGTTTTTTTCCATAAAACATGGTTATATTTTAACTCTTTTTTTTGGGAGGGGCTTCAGCCCCAAAGCTCCTCCCCCCCGTAAATCCGCCTGTGTAAAGTGGCACATCCGGCTAGCTACCCAGGAGGCCAGGACGCGCAACCAGCTGGAGCCTGTTTACAAGAACGGAGACAATAGAGAATGCAATAATCATCGAGGCATATCTCTGCTTAGTGTGCCAAGTAAGCTCTATTCAAGAATCCTTGAAGCAAGGGTAAGATGATTAGTCGAATGCCAGATTGGTGAGGAGCAGTATGGATTCAGAAACTCGAGGAGTACACAGGACCTGATATTCACTTTGAGACAGGACATAGAGAAGTCCATCGAGAAAGGGAAAGAACTTTCTGTCCGCTTCGTGGATCTTGAAAAGCCATTTGATATAGTCAAAAAGGAGGATACAGAGTGAGCTCTGTCTGAAAGACAAGTTGACATTGGCACGATCCTGGCTGTTAGGTGTCTCTATCGAAAGACCAGAAATATTATAAGGACTGGCAACCACACATCCAAGGAGTTTGAAACGACGCAGGGAATATGGCAGGGGTGCAGCCTAAGTCCCCTACTTTTCATACTGGTGCTGGATCAAGCGTTGAGGAGAGCTGAACCCAGACTGCGGCGTTTTCGACTGGGATATAGAATTCTACAGCCTACTTTCTACAGAGTCCTCGCTTTTGCCAATGACCTCGTTATATTTGCTACGGATGACCGGGACCTACAATACAACATAAATATCATGCAAGAAGAGCTGTATGCAAGAACTGTCTAGCATTAACATGGATATTAATCCACAGAAGACAAAATGCATGAGAATAGGTAGACGCCCCGCCGAGTGATGAGGATATTGAGGTTGAAAGGACAAATCCTGGAACAGGTGCAGGATTTCAAATATCTGGGTGCAAGCATAAACGAAAGTGGCTATATCGATGGAGAAATGTCACAAAGGCTGGGAGCAACTGGAAGAATGTTCAACTCAATCCGGAAAGGTTTCCTCAACAAAAGAGAAGTGACGAAGAAACCAAAGATATCCGTCTACAAGTCAACGTTCCTGCCTATCCTCTCTTATTCCTCCCAATCATGGACCCTTACCTCAAAACACAAAAGGCAGATCCTTACAATGGAGATGAGGTACCTAAGAAAGGTTGAGGGAAAGACCAGGAGAGATAGGATCCGTAACACGACAATAAGAGCAAACCTCGAGTTACAGCCGATAGAAACCACTCTGCACATTCACACTCTATGTACAATAAATAAAAATAAATTAAACAGAAAAATAATATAACTACAACTAAATTTATATAAACAAAAAATAAAAACTAAACTGATCAAAATAATAACCTAAATACCAACATACTTTTATGCAAAATTCATTCATCTAGGGAAACTACGAGCCAAGCCTTTCTCCCCATTCGAGGAAGGAAAGGTATGACTCTATGAGATCCCAGCGCCTCTCACTCAGCCGGATTACAGGTATTAAGGACCAGTTGTTTATGTTTAAACAGCTTCAATAGCTTTATTTTTAAGCAACTTCAACAGCTTAAGTTTTCATATCATTCTCTCCACGAGAATGTTAGTTAGAAAAGAGTTTTTTTATTAATCTATAACCTCAAACATCACTGAGGTTGAACATTTTCTGGAATAATACTTCCACTAATTTTAGCAGGAGCCATAACTTCTAAGATGCATGAGATAAATGTAAAATAATGTGGTTAACTAAATAATTATTTGGTTCTTTCAAGGCAGAATTTATTTTTATTTCCACTTTTGATTGCTTTTTTTTTGTTCATCAGAAAAATATACATTGAAGGTATAATAGTTTTTTTTTTATTCTAAGATTAAAATATTTGGTTAAATACTTGAAGTCTTAAATATGAATTTTTGTACTCGTTTTGTTTTTTTTCTCTGTTGTTTAATAAAGAATGGTAAGGCAGCTGGCAGGGATGGTATTGTGCCAGAATTTGTTAAATACGGGGGACCTGAATTGATGAAATCCCTACAGTGTCTCTTTCAAGAAGTACTGACTAAAAAATTTATTCCAGAGGATTGGAAATATAATGTTTTTGTTCCAGTACATAAGAAAAGAAATACTAGCGAATGTGGAAATTACAGACCTCTTTGTCCTTCACAGGTTGTATATAAGATATATACTTCAATACTGGAGAAGAAACTTAGAGCAATGGTGGAGGAACATTTAGAAAAGGAGCAAGCTGCTATCAGATCTCACCGTCAAACCCAAGACCACATATATTCTTTAAGAACAATAATCGATAAGGCTTGGGAACGGAACAGAAATGTATTCCTCACATTCTTAGACATAAAGGCTGCATTCGATTCCGTCCCTAGACAAGAACTATGGAAGGCCCTGATGGACAAAAATATTCCACGAGGATTGATAGATGCTATAAGGTCCACGTATCAGGACTCAAAGGGCATAGTTAGAATAAATGGAATAGAGTCCGATATCTTTGCCATGAGTAAAGGTGTTAATGGAACCCAACACCTTTGCCATGAGTAAGACAGCTTGAGCCCCCTACTGTACATTATATATTTAGACGAAATTTTAAAGATTTGTAAACGACGAACAGCGTGAGCATTTGTAGGAAAATGGAACATGAGGACGATATTGACGAAAGTGGTCTTTGCAGATGACATCGTTCTCATATCAGACTCAAAGGAAAATCTGCAGCAAGCGGTGATCGAATGGGCTGAATTAGCAAGAAAGAGTATCAGGAGGTTGTTGATATTTATTGCAAAGGACAGTTACTGGAAATGGTGGAGGACTTCACATATCTAGGTGCAGTGATAAACAAGAACGGAAGTGTTGACCATGAAATTTCCAACAGGATTAAAAAGGCCAATGATGTGTATTACAGCTTATGCAATACAGTCATTGGGAAAAGGGAGGTAGAGAGGAATGTAAAAATCCATATTTTTAAAGCTGTATATCTACCAACCCGTATATATGGGAGTGAAAGTTGTGTCCCATTAACCAAACACCTTAGCAGAGTTACTTCTAGTGAAATGAAATATCTTCGAAGGGTAGCCGGCAGAACCAGCAGAGACCGGATCAGGAATGAAAAAACAAGAGACGACCTAGGCACTGTCTCACTAAAGGATTCTATAGAAAAGGGGCAGCTGAGATAGTTCGGGTATGTATGCCGAATGAATGAAGACCGTGACCCACGAAAATTCATGGAGGCGAGACCTGTAGGAAAACGGCGAAGAGGAAGACCCAGATTATCGTGGATGGAGTACATCTCCCAGATCGGGCAGAAAAGAGGAATGAGGATGGGGATATGAGGGCTCTAGCTCGGAACAGAAATGCTTGGGATGCATGGATCGAGGCACCTCCACGCTGAAAGGCACAAAGGAGGTAGAGAAAGAAGTTCAATAAAGCATTTATAACTTCTCGTGATTATCTCCAAATTCAACATCATTATGGCAGTTAAAAATTTGAATTACTGCTGTTCCTATACATATCAATAACTTTTATTTGTATGCCTTTAAAATATTTAAAAATATATATATAAAAAAATTATAAACATTTTTTAATAGCCTAAACATATTTTTTGTAATTTTCGAAAAAAACAAAATGTTGCACACTTACATGAAAATGTATAGCGAAAAATTTGTATTATATGCTTGCAATAAAAATCTCGGGATTTTACGGGGTGCAGAAGAATATCAATTTTATTTCTATCAAGAGCTTTGGGGCTCCACTAAACCATCGAATTCCTCTCGTATCCAATCCTTACAATCCAAAATCCTTCGTAAAATCCTCAACGCTCCTTACTTTGTCACAAATAAAATCATCCATAAAGACCTTAATGTTCCATATGTTTCCGATCTGGCCCAATCCAGATATCTTTCCTTCCATAACAAACTGCAGAATCATCCGAATCCTCTCGTTTCAAACCTTGCTTCCTCCTCGATCCCTGATAACCCTCCGAGGCGTCTGAAAAGAAGATGGCCTCGGGATCTTCTAATATAGAACTTTAATTTGAGTTCTACCAATGGGTAGTTTCTCTTCATGTTGTACATGCCATGTTACAAATTTCTCATTTACTTATTGTATTCTCTATGTAATACAGTTGTAAATTCCATTGAAATAAAAAAAAAAAAAAAAAAAAAAAATTTCTATCAAAAAAACATTTTCCCCCATATTACTATCTTGGTCAGTCCACTTTAGTTGTATTATATGAACAATATTAAAACAAACTGACCTAGTTTCAAATAGAGTATGGATCATTTGGTACAGCATTTCTCTTTGGTGAAACATTTCTGGAAAGTTTGAAAAAACCAACCACTACATTTAATAGTTGGCACAGGTGGATCTAGGAGGGGTAAGGGAGCTTTCGGGTTGAAGCCCCTCCCCCCCCCCTCCTCAAAAATGGTAAAATATAACCAGGTTTAATGGAAAAATTATTAAAAAATTATCTCTTAAAGTAGTATTTTCGTGTAATTACATTTAATAGAACTTCAAGAATCACTTAAACACCATTTCATATAGGTAGTTAGTATATTTTTTTTTTTTTCCAAAATTATATATATGATAAAAAATGCTTTCGGGGTGAAGCCCTCCCTCCAAAATTAAATCCTGGATCCGCTAGTGATAGTTGGTCGCAATGGGTGAATCGCTTAGAAAGAAAAGCCTTCCAGTGGAAGTGAGCACATTACAATTTGTCTTACAAACTTTTCTAAGAAACTAGCATATTTTAAAAATGAAGTTGACATCTGGACAAAATGTTTTTAACAGAAATATAGGCACATTACGTTCATCAATTAAAATGCTTAAAAAAATTATAAGAGTTATTTATGAATATATCATTATTATACATGTGTATATGATGGTTTATTGTATATTAATGAAAATAACACAGAAATTCACGCACATCTATGTTAAAATAAAATAAATAATTAATGAGTTTTCCGATCATTGGCTTGGGTACACCATCGATGAGGGGTGTCCATCCCCCCCCCTCCCAAGGTCAATGGCGCAAGATCCTACGCCCCCCTCCTCCCAAGATATTTTATTGTTCACCTTTTCTTAAAAACAGAGCAACCTAATGTAGAATTAGAAAAATCGTAGATCATATACAATTAAACTTGCAGCGGTATGTTCCATGTTTTCCCCTTTCCCTTAGTCCAAAAATTCATAACTCCGTTAAAATTTTGATGGCGCAACTTGCGTCATGAAACTCCCTTCTGGGCACCCCCTGCCCTCGATCATTAGAGAGCACGGAACGACTCGAGTTAACACTCAGCAAAATGGATTGAAACGGCGAAAATGTGGTTATTTCAGATCGCATGTCGAAGATTATAGTCTCATGAATAGAATTTTATCATTAATTGATAACAAATTAGCATTATATATATATATATAATATATATATATATATATATATATATATATATATATATAATGCTAATATATATATACACACACATACTACTGGCACTGGTACTGGTGGGGGGGGGGAGAGGGGAACTAGTCCGGTGTGGGCCACATGGTCGTTTTTCTAACCCATAACGGCTATCTTGAGGTTGCCGTACTTAGCAATATTCATTTGCCGAGGTCGTCTAGACATGAAAATTAACTGACACAGATGAGAATCGAACCCAAAACGTTCGGAAACGGACACTCTGGGACCAACTTGCTCAGCCATCAAGCCCTCATATTTACTCGTACATATCTTTTTAGTATGATAAACTGTAGACAAAAGACGTAGCTAAAAATAAAACCTCAATTAATTGAGAAGGGAGATTAACAATTAACTAGAACTAAAAAAAAAAAAAAAAAAAAAAAAATAAAAAAAAATAAAAAATAAAAAAAAAATAAAAAATAAAAAAAAATAAAAAATGGTTGTTTCACTCAGAAAACAGGTTAGCTCAATACCGAAGAAAAGTATGAAGAAATTGAAATTACGTATTTAAGACGGGTATATGTCTAGGATGTTACAGCAACTGCTTCGCTAAAATCTACTAACCGGATGTGCCACTTTACACAAGCGGATTTACGAGAGGGGGGTTGGTAGAGAGAGAGAGAGAGAGGTTTTTCGAGCTGAAGCCTCCCAAAACTGGATCTGCTACTGTCACTTTATATAATCGATATTACACTTTTTATATTAATATATTACATACCTTTAAGGCTTTTTATCAACTTTGTATAATGTGTTTTTTCAGGACATGGATATATATCATTGCTCTACTATACCTTACGATAAATACATACAAGGAATGGAAACCGCTGGGGTACGAAAATATTTATCGCTACGTGAACAGAAGTTGATTTTTAAAGCTTTTACTCGACCTGTTTACCATAGGACTGAGTTTGACTACACTCGGTTTTTGAAGGCATGTCATCACGTATGCCCCATGCCTGTAGTCTATCTATAAAATTAAAATTACTATATTGCTATACAGTTTATAGTCTATTCGGCAAACATGGCTAAATTTTTTTTCAAATAAAAATTCTTTTAAATATAATTTGACTGTTTTTATTAACAAATTGTTTCAAATATATGACACTTAAGTTTTCTTTGAAATATAACAGAAAAGGAATACTTCATAAAGAATATTTAACCTTATTTTCATTTATTATAGTTTTATCTTACAATAGGTGATGGTTAGAATAATTAAATTTAATTAAAGAAAATAAAAAAGTTCTATTAATCATAAGATGTGGCATACCTTGACCATTTGGGGCCAGGTGCGGATTTAGTTTTGAGGACCCGTAAAAAAATAATAAATAGAAAGCTTTTTCAAATTAAAAATAAATGTTTCGTGATTTTGTTCTTTTTCTAAACAAACAAATGTACATTCTTCTATGATCTATGCTGACTATCTTCGTGGTGCTACAAACCTAAATGTTCATCGACCTCTCCAATAAGCTTTCTTTCTCCGGCGTTTGACCAGTAGTTGCCGTTTGTAAGAAGATCCTGAGTGTTTGTACGAGGTTTTAACGTATGTACGAGGTACGAGGATCGACCAACCTCGTACATAATTTTTGCTTGCACACAAAGTTAAATTTTTATGAATAAAGTTTAGATTTGTTTTACAATTATTTTTACTGTTTTATAAATTATATTTTTAAGGGAATCTGGTAGGTTCACTAAATAAATACACCATTAACAATATAAATACACAATTTAATTTTTGGGAAAAAAATACAAAAAGCTATGAGTAATAAAATTTAACAAAAATGCAAAAGAAAAGTAGTAACGTTGTACGAAAAATGAGAAATATATTAATAAGTAATAATTAACATTTGTTGCTTTAGAGACAAAAATATTACAATTATATATTCTTTCATTAGAATATGATTATCATTTCCTCCATAAATTTGTTATTGTACCTAGTTCTGCCATAAATACTGTTACAAAAGTTGAACTTTGTTTACGCCCTTAGGTATTATTCAGATAATCCTTACCTCTTTCAGGTTATTTTCTTTACATGTCAGGATAATAATCCCAATTAGTTTGTATTTTTCTTTCGCTCAGTTAACATGGAGTGGAGTTAAAACAAAAACCGAATAGCTGTGATCGCCTTACACAAAGTTGGATAATGTAGGTCAGAGATTTTCAACACTTTGGTATCAGCCGTATGTTCGTGTACCGCACTATAAATAGATATAATGAGATATGTGACAGACTTCGACCGGTCCTCGCACTGTGAAAAAGGTAAATGCAGTGAGAGCAGTGGCTGTTCGAATCAAAAGAAATCCCATTCGAAAACAACAAATGATGTCTCGAGAAATGGGAATCTCTATCAGATCAATGTCTCGCATAATAAAAAGTGACCTTAGGATGGGTCCATTTCGAAGAATGGCAGTACAAAGGCAGTAACCACTTCCCTTAAAAAAATTAGAGTGTATAGATGCAAAGTGCTTCTTGGCCGTTACAGTGGTCTTCACCAGAGGATTTTGTTTAGCGATGAGAAAATTTTTACAATTGAAGAAAAATTTAATCGCCAAAATGATGGTGTGAACGTACACAGCTCTAAAGAAGGCCAGGAAGTCATTGGAAGAGTGGAAAGAGGTCATCACCCTTCCTCAGTGATGGTTTGGTTTTATGGCGCCACAAAGCTCCATTTTTGTGAAAAAGGAGCTAAAATAGCCGCTAAAAACTATCAGGACGATATTTTGGAATCTCAATGTTTGAACCTGTCAAGCCTCTAAATGATACTCTGTTTGCTCGAAGTCATTGGGTTTCCCAGCAGGATTCTACTACAGCTTACAAGGTCAACTCAGCAGTGGCTGCAAAAGAACATTCCAGAGTTTATCTTTGCCTCGGATTGACTCAGGAAGCCCTGATCTCAACTCACTAGATTATCGGCTTTGGCCCAAACTGGAGAGGATGGCATGCCACAGAGCACACCTTAACTAGGAAAGCCTCAAACAATCTCTGGTCCGAGCACATGAGCGCTTTTCTCACGAAGTGCTCCGTACTTCTATTGGTGTCTGGCCATGGAAATTAAATGCCAGTGTCAAGATAAAAGGGGGACATTTTGAGTAATTTCTTTTTGTTTTATTCTCTATAGACATAAATTTTATTTTCTAATAAAGTTTTTGAAAATAATTAATTTTTCTGTTGAAATCTGTATATATTTTCTTGTAACAATATTTATGACAGGACTAGGTATATACATTGTTTTTTTTTAATTTCTAGATAGTTAAAATATTTTTTAAAAAATGTTACCGTCAAAAATATTTTGATTTTTTTGTCGAGTATAAAATAAAATATAAAGTATGATTATTATTTTCTTCATAAAATTGTGTGTAAGTGTATATATATATATATATATATATATATATATATATATATATGTATATATTTTTTTTTTTAATTACTAGATAAAGAAAAATTTTAAAAAAATTCTAACCGTAATTTTTAAAAAAGGATTTTAATATTTAATAATTTTTATTAATTTCAATTATATTTCACCATGTTTTCAACTTCAATGAAGTAATAATAACGTGTTTTCGCTTTATTTTTAATAATGATCGGAATATTGAATCATTTAAAAATTTTATTTTGCTGTTTTATTTTTTTATAGAAAGTTTTTCAATAGTTTATACAATCATATATGTTTTATTGAACTTTTTTCGTACTTTTAATTCGTGACCCATTAACATAAAAAAAATAATGTAGAAAGGTTTAAAAATATATGAATTGAACAACCAACCAAAGCTCTGGCCTAATTGGTCTAAGAAAAAACAATAACATTAATCCTACAATAGTACGAATTTTCAAAGTGTAAGCGTTCGAGGATGAACGACGTTTAAGATATGAGGATTTATCGCTATTGTTGCCCAAAAATGGTATTGGTATTGCGGTCTTGGTCTCGGTCTTCACTTTTGCAAGATCGAGCATAGTAACAGTTTTTGCGCCAGCCAATATTATGACCAGAGCCCAATTTTTAAGCAGTGAAAAAAGTTAAACAATGCCAAATGAATATGAAATTAGTTAAAACACTATTTCTTAGAAACTCTAGAAGTTTGCTCCTAGAAGACTAAAAAAGTCAAAGTAAGGATTCTTAAGAAAAAAAATTCTTCTTAAACACAGATCAGACATAATTAGTAATAATTAACAACACAATGTAAGATATTTATTATCCCTTTAACGGCGGTGGACTCGCATATGAGTCGAGAGCCTGTCAGGCTCTTCTCTTGAAATTGCGATGTGCTCAGTGATACAACTCTATTTTCAAATTATCTCGCGACCTTTCTATGAGACATTAGGTAATTTTTTGTTTGGATATTATGGGAATTTTTTTTATGACATCAGCAGCTAACTCTTGCGTCCCATACCTGACAGGCGCTTGTCTCCTTTTATAATAATAATAATAATAATAATAAGGCTTAGCGAACCCGAAGGTTCGATGCCGACACCACCAATTGCTTGTTACACACCTCCCTCCACCGTTCGCCGTCCAAACCCAGTCCCTTCAGATCGGCTTTAATGCAATCTTCCCATCTTCGCTTCGGTCTACCCCTCGGACGCTTACCATTCGGCACAGCAAATATTAACCTTTTAGGAATTCTCTCGTTACTAAGCCCAACAACTTTACAAGCCCATTTGATTCGCCGCGATGAAATTACCTCAATTATATTACCCGGATACATCTCACGCAATTCGGCGTTGTGTAACCGTCTGAACTCTCCGGTTAACTCATCCTTTTTCGGTCCGAATATTCTACGCAATACTTTATTTTCAAAAACCTTAAGACGCTGCTCATCCCTTAATGTAAGCGGCCAAGTTTCGCATCCATAAAGAACTGTAGGTAAGATAATTGTTTTATAGATTCTAATTTTTAAGTTTCGGGACAAGAGGCGCGAACTAAGTAGTTTTGTCACAGAAAAATAACAAGCATTCCCCGCCTTCAGTCTAACCTTAATCTCTTCTTCAATTTCGTTTTTTCTAGTTATCGTAGAACCTAGATACCTAAATTTATCTACCTGTTCAAACATATTACCATCTATATCGATATCACCAGTAGTATCGCCATTTTTGCAGCTAACCATATATTTTGTTTTATCCACGTTTATTTCGAGTCCTAGTTCTTTCCCGGCTTTCATTAACGTTGTCGTATTTAGTTTTATAGTTTCAACGTCTTCGCTTAACAGTACCAGATCATCAGCATAGCCCAGCACGGATGTTGTCCCGCCCAGATCCAACCCTTTCTCGGTTCGCATTACCTCCCTAATGGATGTTCTAATGCCAAATTGAACAGGACAGGCGAAAGAGAATCCCCCTGTTTTAAGCCCGAACGAACCTCAAATTTTTCGGACAAATTATTACCGATTCTAACTTTATTGAGTGTCTCCGTCAAGCACATCCTGACTAGATTTACTAGTTTTTTTGGAATCCCCTGCTCGATTAGAAGATTATACAATTTCTGGCGGTCAATAGAATCGTAAGCCTTTTTAAAATCTATATACAGCTGATGAACAATACCGTTATACTCCAATTTTTTCTCTAATATTTGCCGTAAAGAAAATATTTGATCAATAGTCGAACGATTCCGTCTAAATCCGCATTGGTAGTCTCCGATAATTTCCTCGGCGTATTCCGTGATTCGACTGGTTAAGATTAAAGTGAATATTTTATAACATACCGGAAGGAGTGAAATTCCTCGATAGTTATTACAATCCGTCCTCGGACCCTTTTTGTGAATCGGAATAAGAATAGATTCTTTCCATTCTTCAGGTAATTTTTCGTTCACCCAGATCTTTTTAAGCAACCGATGTATTTTAGAAACTCCAGCTTCTCCGCATGCCTTAATTAGTTCAGTAGGAATATTATCGATTCCCGCTGCTTTATATGATTTTAATTTTCCGATAGCTACTTCAACTTCCTCTTAAGTTGGTCCTTCTATTAACGGTTCAGCACTCTGGTACTCAGAAGGAGGACACAGATCATAATTTCCCGTATTTAAAATATTGTCAAAGTGGTCCTTAAACTTATTCAATATGTCAACCGGATCGGTCAGAATATTGT